GCCCCCCTCCCCGCGTCGTGGGGGGTTGTCGCGCGGGGTGTCTGCGCGCTCCTCGCCGGGCGGAGCCCCGGTGGGTGTGGGGCCGGCTCCCGGGAAGGGCGCGGAGTTGGGATGCCGGGCCGAGCGGCCCCCGCTCCCCGCGCTCTGCTCCTCCTGCGAGGTTTGGGGGGGGGGTCTTCTGGGATGCTCCCTCCCTGGGTCCTCTGCCCCCCTCCCCCCGGCCCTCGCCCGGGGCCGCGGGAGAGCCTCGCAGACAGAGCCCCCGCCGGCAGGAGCTGCGGCGCAGCCCCACTTTCCGGAGGGCAAGACTGAGACCTGCGGGAGGGACGCGGCTCTGTGCCCTCCCCCGCCTGCACCCCGGGCCGGTGGCCTGCGGACCAACGCTGTTAAGCTTGTTGGCCTGTGATGGTCCAGAGGGGCTGGCTGGTTCGGTTTCCCAGACTTGGACAAGGGGGCCAGTAGATGTATTGCAAGTAACAATAATACCTCAAGGGGAGAAGGCTCCGTGAGGGCCGGACCAGGGGTTGGGGTTGGAGGCAGTCCAACCACAGCCCGGGCTGAGCAGGACCCCTCGCCGGTTGCGGGAGAGGGGGATGGGAGAGAGAGCAAGGCGCTGGCCCCTGACTTAGATCCCCACGGGGCGAAACCTGAAACCTAACCCTTATACCTGAAGGAAACGGGTAATGGTCGTTGTAGCCGACCCTGGTTGGCCGAGAGATGCTGGAGCCTTTCTCGGTGGGGTTTGAAGGTTTCTATCTTGGGTCCCCTCCCTCAGAGGCCAAGAACTCATGTTCTTTCTGAGTCCCAGAGTCAACGCTGGAAATGAGAGTTTAGGGCCCGTTACTAGAATTGGAGCCTTTCAGGCGGGGAGCACAGTTGCCCCGGGTGGTGGGGCCGTGCCCAGAACGGCCGGACCCAGACCAGCCCCCGGCGTGCTGAAGCGCCCTCAGACCTGGTCCAGAGTGATGCTCAACTGGGGTGTGAATGGATGGCCACAGGCCTGCGCTGGTCTCAGGGCACGAGGCTGGGGGGCTCGGCAGGCAGGGCTTTGGGGCTCTGTTAGGCCCTGCTTTGACACATGGGCAGCTGCTCTCATAGTAGCAGGGAGCTTGTCTGGTGTAGACCCCGGGTGTAGCAAGGAGTCCCACAGGAGTGGCCTGCTGCGCCAGGGGGAGCCGGGGTGGGCCGCTGCCTCCCCCAGGGTTCAATGTTCAGGATCTTCACATGCGGGGTCCTCTTCCCTCGGCTCTTGACGCTCTTAGGCGTCAGAGAGAGGTTGCTCTTGGGCCTTTTATGGCGGGTGGTGGGGGGAGGGCAGGGAGAGGTGGGAGCCCTCTGATTTCTGAGGCCAGATGGCTTACGAAGCCGCGGCACATCCCTTAGATCTTTTGATCCTGTGATTTAGGTCTGGAATGGCCAGCCCCATCTATAGGTGGGAAAGCTGAGGTCTTCAAAGGTCTCGTGACAAGGTAGACCTGGAGCTGGGACTAGGGCCTGGCCTCTTGGTCTTCCCGTCCTATTCTGGCATGGTTCTGGGGAAGTCTGTTTGAGTACACATTGGGAGCCGGACCCCACCCCAACAGGCCGAGTCAAGTGGACCCCTTAAACCCCCCACCAAGGGCACAACACATTGCCTGCTCACCTCTCCTTTCCTCCGGCTCCTCATTTTCCCCGAGGATGCGCTGGGGCTTTGCTGCTGACCTCCACCTCTTGGATCCTTTTCCTCTGTACCTGGGCTCACAGGCATGGCTGATGGGGCAGAGGGGCTTATGCTGACTCTGTGGCTGACTCCAGCAAGGGAGCCTTGAGTGGCCAGCCTCAGCAGGGGGCACAGAGACGAGTTAGGCATGCTCCCTGCCCTCCTGAGTCCGCTAGCCCACTGGGGAGACTAAGTGCACCTTGACCCCAAACACCTCTGTAGGGAGAGCCTCACACAGCAGGGCAGGCCCGTCCTGCACCCGGGACACTGGAGAAGGACGGACAGGGAGAGGTCTGCATTGGGACATCTTCGGGGGAGTCTGGTGATCGATCTTTTTCTTCTTCATTCATGCTTGTTGTATTTTCAAAATTGTCTCAAAGGAAGAAAAGCAAAACTCTGGAAAACTTTCAAGAGAACTTCTGCCTCTGAAGCTCGGACCGGGGTTTGTGGGTCTGGTCTGGGGACAGATGTAAACTTCTGAATTTAATCGGGTGTCCAAGGGGAAGGTCCCAGGATTTTGAAATATTTCAGCACAGATTAGCCTTAAAGCCAACAGAACAGCCTGGAACTCAAGCAGAAGACAACATCCTAATTGGTCTGTTGCAGACCTTCCTGGGATCTGGTGTGAGTCTGAGGGGAGCTGTGACTCACGACCAGCCCAGCGGCTGGAGAGACTTGTCACGGGGGCTGGCTGGCAGGGGGATGGGGGCTGGGGGTGACGGTAGCCTCCAGGTCCTGAGCCACACCCATTTAGGAACCAGAGAGAGTGGTTTCCTAAGCTGATGCGTGGCCTGGGTTAGAACTGGGGAGAGGGGCCCCCAGCCCAGAGAGCAGTTGATGACTCCACATCCCGGAGGGTCCTCACTGAGGAAGCCAAGTACGTGGGATCAGCCCACAGGCTCCTTCTCCTCTCTGAGTAGCACAGGCTGCATGACCCCTCGAGTCCTGCGTCTTTTCTGCTCCCTGCACAGAGAACTCCATTCCTACCTCCCAGCCCTCGTGTTTGCTGTTCCTTCTTCCTGTAAACCCTTCCCTCCCGTGCAACCCCATCAGGTGTCTTAGAAAGTGCTCTGCCCCCCTCTTGGACAGCTGACCTCAGGGGTCGCATTCGGTGCTGGTGGACTGTGGGTCAGGGACCTGGCCTGGGGGCCCTTTTGACGTCAGGCTTTGGTTCTGGGGCTTTAGCCTTCGTCTGCGTTTTGGACATGGACACTTGAGCCTGAATTGTCACTTTAAGAGGGGGGTAAAAGGCAGGCAGGAGCCGTGGTTCCCTCCCACCCTCAGCCCTCCACCGCCCTCTCTGTCTCCCAGCTTATTATAGAGGGGGCTAAATGGAGCCCCGCGGGCTGGGGTGGTGGGCATTGGGCCAGGGCCATTGCCAGGTGCACGGAGCCGGCAGCAGGAGGCCACTCCTTCAGCTAATGACCACCTGCTGAGTGAGGTGGCTGGGAGTAGTCTGGCTGTTTGCAGAGGGTACCACAGTTTCCAGCTATTAACAGCAAAGGCTATTATTTGCAAGGTCTTATGCCTGGCAGACAAGAACACAGCCTCTGGAGGGGGCCTCTTGGGCTTGAGTCTCAGCTCAACATTTCCTAGCTGTGTGACTTATGGCAAGTGCTTCAACCTCTCTGAGCTTGTTTCTCATCTATGAAATGGAGGCAGTAAGAATACTTCTCTCAAAGGCTGAGGAACGGTTCCAGATTAACGTTGACCAAGGGGACAGGACAAACCAAACTCAGTATGTGAACCCAGGCTGGAAAAAAAAACATCGTGTACAGGACATTATTGGGCCAGTTGACGACATTGAATATGCACTGTAGATAAAAGCATTGTATCAATGTTAAATGACCTGATAACTATTTGTAGGGGTCCTTGTCCTTAGGAAACATGCACTGAAGTATTTAGGGGTAGAGGGGCACAGTGTAAACAATCTCCTTTCAAATATTGCAGAGAGACCCATATATAGACAGATCTTAAAGTGAGGCCAAACAGCACAAATAGGCAAATCTGCATAAAAAGTGTAGGGGAATTCTTTGTGTTTTTCTTGTAACTTTTCTAGAAGTTTTAAATTATTTCAAAATACAAAGTTAAAAAATGCCTACTGGTCAGAATGAAAGGACCTTCATTCACGTTACTTAGAATGGTGCCTGGCATTCACTGTGTTCACTGTTGCTTTTTATTATCATTAGTCGGGGCAAAGTGTAGCTTATTGTCACAGTAACTTGTGTTATTTTTTCCACTTTATAGATGACACACTTGAAGTCCAGAGAGGTTGCTCCGGGTCTCACAGCAGTAAGTCCAGAGCACTGATAGGAGAACAGCTTACAGTTTCTTTTGGATTCGTTGCCAGAATCTGAAACTATGAGATTCTACACGAAAACCCAGATTTCCAGCTATATGCCTCGTCATACCCCAGTCCTTCCTCAGTCCTGCCCGCAGCCCTAAGCAGTGTGCCTGGGTCTTCCAAAGGGATGCAGAATGGCTGACCGCCTCCCCCCACCCCTGGCCCCGTGACTAGAGTGTTGGAGTAGCTCACTGAAGGGTCCCCAGGTTGCAGTCTTAATCTGGCTTTGGTGTGTGCAGGGAGGTAGTTATCCCCTCTGAGCCTCTGGGTCTTCCTCTGTAAAATGGGGTTATACCCCCTTCCTGGAGGGTGATCAGAAGGACTCAAGGGCTCAGCATGTCAGCCTTGAGCAGGGTGGACTTCTGCATGTGTGGCCATGAGGACTGTTCATCCCAGTGCCTGGCCTCGGATACCCCTGGGTCCCCACCAGCCTGGGTACAGGGTCAGGAGGTGCCCGAGAGCAAAGGTCGGAAATGGGCCTGGTTGTCCACAGGGGGGTGGGGGAGGGCAAGGCTGGGCAGACACTGTTTCCATGGCTTTGTGGGTGTGCCTTACGGTCCCCATCTCACAGAGGAGGGAGCAGGCTCCACGGGGATGGCGGGAGGAGTGCACTTGGTGGGTCTCCCCCACAGATGGGGAAACTGAGGCTCAGAGAAGCGATGTGAACTTTAGAGGCTGCTTCTGCTTCCTCGGCCAAGGCTCTCATTACGGTCCCAGGAGAAGGACAAAGGCAGCTCATAGCTTCCTTTTAAGTGGCTTGAATTTTTTATGTTAATTACAGAAAAAAAAATCACATTTATTATTAAAAAATCAGAAAACTCAAGCAATAAAGTGAGGACAAAAATCAGAATCTGTACTCTTTGAAGTAACCCATTAATATACGGGTGTATATCCCTCCAGAGGGCTTTTTTTTTTTTTTTTTAAAGGATAAGAAAACAAATTGCTCACGACAAATGTTTTTCTTGTCCTCTAAGGGAAGTTCCCCCAGCCCAGCGTGCCCCCCACGCTTTGGGAGTGCGTCGTCGGGGATCTCAGACACACCAGGCTGGCCCGGCCTCCGGGGCGCGAGCAGCCCTGGCGGATTTCTTGGTGCCCTATTGCTGGACATGTAGGTTGTTGCTGGTATTTTTGCGGTTGGAGCGTTCCTCTGAGGAGCGGGCAGCAAAGAGTTTGCACACACTGGGGATTCTTTGTGTAGCGTAAATTAGGAGGGGGGGCACCCCCACCCCACCCCCACCCCACCCCCGGCCAATGCAGGTTTGAGGTAGGCGTCTGGGGCCGTGGAGGGCGCTCGGCCCCCGGGGAAGGGGAAACTGCTTTGTGGTCAGCGGATGAGACAGGGAGGGGCTCCCACGAGGGCTTTGCAGGGAGAGGGGTTAATTGTCGCTCCCTGGCTGGTCCTGGAATCCTTGCAGCTCCTGTGCGGGCGGTGGGTGGAGGCCGAGGCCACGGAGGAGGAGTGCCTCTGCCCGGCGAGTGGGTGGTGGGGGAGCCTGGGACCCTGCAGGTCCCCCGTGCTTCCTGCACAGGGGCCTGGGGTTCAGGTTGGGAGCTCATCCCGCGTGGTCTGGGGGCTGGGCCCGGAGCAGGATTGAGTCTGGTTTTGTGGTTTTGTCGTTAGGTTCTAGCTCTGGGACCCGGGGTGAGTGGCCTTCCCTCCCAGGGCGGCACATTTCCCATCGGTGGGAAGGGGCTTACCACGACCCCTTCACTGCTGAGACTTGAATAAGACGAGGTGCCAGAGTTCTTCCAGGGACCGGGTCTCAGCTTCACTAGGGAAGGATTACAGGGATATGGGGGAGGGCAGATGAACTTGACTGCAGCTGTGTACCCATCCCTGAGCGGCCACCCTGGAGTCCTCCCTCCTCCCGCATGCTTTCCCCTCCTGACTGATCACTTCATCTGGACAAATTGTAGTATATATTACTGCAAGATAAGGACTAACCCCCCCCCCCGAGGATTATTACCACACCTGAAACCTAACCATGTTCTCTCTGATTGTAGCTGTCCATGCAGAGTTCAAATTTCCAATCATTCCATACACATCAAATATGTATCTATTTTAGTTTTTTTTTAAAATGTGGGTCCAAATAAGATTGCATGACAAGATTGATAGTCATCCACTCTCTCCCTGGTGCCGTGTTTTTTTGTTTTTAGAGATTTTATTTATTTGAAAGAGTGAGAGAGCACAAGTTGGGGGGATGGCAGAGGGAGAGGGAGAAGCAGGCTCCCCGCTGAGCAGGGAGCCTGATGTGGGACTCGATCCCAGAACCCTGGGATCATGACCTGAGCCCAAAGCAGACACTTGACCGGCTGAGCCCCCCAGGTGCCCCATTTTGGGGGTTTTTGGAAGCCAGATCCCTTTTCCTACAGTAGAGCCTCCTATCATGTGTAACACATTCCTTACCCCGTGAACCTCCTATGAATCGGGAGGGGTATCGGGAGGCTTGATCTCATGCAGTTTGCTGGAGACGGAGACATGCTTGCGGGCTCCTACTGGGAGGTTGGCATTGTCTGCTCGCACCTCTTGTGTGATGCCTGAGGCCGCCGATGCTCAGCGGCTTTAACGTCGTAGCATTTTTAATTATACACGCTTCCATTTTCACCTGGTTACAAGTGGTGCTGAGTTTGGCACTGTGGGCGAACTTCGTCTCCGGACGTTGTTTTTTCTGATTCTTGTTTTTTTCTTCATGGTAGTTTTACCTGGTGTCTCTTAATAACACGGGTAGTTAATTGTTTTAGAGAAAACTGGAAAATAGTCATAAATAAGAAGATAGGTATGAAAATAAAACCATTAAATTCTGCCAACTTAGTGGTAACTCCTAAGATTTGGGTACATCCTTCTAGATTCTTTTTTTTTTTTTAAGATTTTTTATTTATTTGAGAGAGAGCACGAGCAGGGGAAGGGGCAGAAGGAGAGGGAGAAGCAGACTCTCTGCTTAGTGTGGAGCCCATCCTGGGGCTCAGTCCCAGGACCCTGGGATCATGACCTGAGCCAGAGGCAGATGCTTAACCGACTGAGCCACTCAGGAGGCCCTAGATTTTCACACATCTGTGATATTGTTAAATGAAAGAGAGCTGGCTCTCTGCACACAGGTCTGTGGCTGCCATTTTCATGGCGTGGCATCATGGGGGTGACCCCCTTCCTTGGCTCTGTGGGGCGGAGCGTGGCCTTCCTCCCTGCCCCTCAACCGTTCACACGGCAGCTGGGTGTGGGGAAGGACAGGCGGCTGCTGGTGCGGCCCAGCTGCCAAGTTTTTCAAAGGAAATGAGGACTTTTGGTTGGCAGGGCAGTAGCTTTCACATCTGTTCTTTTAGGATTCTCTGCTGTTACTCAACACCCTGTGACCCTGGCTGCCCCCTTCCTCCTCCAAAGTCCCGTCTCCTGGGCCTGGCAGAGGCCCGGGCCGTCTGGGTCATGGGAGCCAGCCCCCTGCCCTCCGGGGCGCCAGCGTACCACCCACATGATGCAGGGCTGGTCCTCTCCCCTTGTTCTGGCTTTGGACCTGTGACAGGCGGCGGATTTCTGCAGAGCTGGGGCCGCCGTACAGAGGAGCCGAGTTTCATAGCTAAGATGCTGTTTACTTAGCACATGTGTTTATTTGGAGTGGCTTTGAGGCTCGCCCCAAGCCGCCCCTTAGGACCACCACTGATCAGGAGTTAGGAGGCCCTCATTCCATCCTGTCACTTGTAACCCATTGCCTGACCTCAGCCAGCCCCTTCTCCTCTGGAATCCCGTTTTCTGCCTGTGGAGTGAAGGAGGGAGCCAGAGCGTGTCCGTATGTCCCCAGGCTGGGAAAGCAGGGGATCCCGGCACACCCCTGAGCCCACAGCCAGGAGGAGATGGAGGCAGAGGGGCCGGAGGTGAGTTGGTGCGTTGGAATACACCCACCCCCCGCCCAGTGTGAAAAATCAGCCCGGGAGGAAAGTGACAGGGCCCCCTCCGCTGGGGTCTCTCTGCAGCCGTCCTGACCACGACGAGCCTGGAAGAGCTGGGGCCAGCGGACCGGACGCCAGCGCTGAGGCGAGAATCTGAGCGCAGGTCTGTGAGGCGGAAATGTCACCGAGGGCCCCTGGACGGCCTGGTGTGGGGGTGGGGGCGGTCTCCCGAAGAGAAGAGGCGATCCTGGCTCCCTCCGGAGCAGGCCAGGGCTGCGGTGGCAAGAGGGAGTCCAGCTGCCAGGGACCGGGGCTGTGGGCGCTGCTCCCGGGGACGCCGGGGACACAGGGGACACAGGGCCCGCGGCTCCCAGGCACGGGGCTGCCTGAGTGTCCCCACAGCGTGCGGGCCAGGTGGAAGCCACGTGTCTCTCAGGTCACGCCACACAGTGTGCCTTCTGCCTATTTTTGGGTCGCCCAGGTGGCATGGGAGGGGCATGAACACCCAGGGTGGCCGGAGGTCATTTGCAGGCTGACTCCCGCAGTGGTAAAGGTGGCGCTGGTCGCTTCTAGCTCATGTCCCACCGGGCTGTTTCCGACGTAGTTCCAACCAAAGTCCCGGAATTGGATCCCCCGGGACCACTTGGAGTCCCACGCCCACTCCTCAGTGGACAGCGGTCACAGGCGCACCCCTGGAGGGCTGGTGCCCATAGGAACAGCGAGCCGTTACCAGAGTGGAGATGGGTGCTGCAGAAGGGGGCTAGAGCACTGTAAACGCCCGGTGGAGAGGCCTGTGGCGCTCTGCGGCCCAGAGGCGGTAGCGATGGGACACCGGGGAGGGCTTCCTGGAGGAGAGGGCCTTTATACTTGTCTCGGCAGGATGGGCAGCGTTTTGACCATTCCTGGTGGCAGAAGGGTCTGAGTCAAGGTGTGGAAGAGTGAGGCATGGGATGTGGACTCAGGGATGGGCTGGGATCCCTTTCTTTCCCGGGCTGGGAATATATGGACACACTTGGGCCCGGTCCTTCATTTAACAGGCAGGAAACTGGGTTTCCAGAGGGAGAAGGGACTGGTTGAGGTCATGCAGCTGGTTCTGAGTTATAGGATGGAACGAGGGCCTCTGACTCCTAATCAGGGAGGATGGAAACATGAGTGGTGGGGGTCAGGACTTGACTCAGCCACGGAGGGCCTTTGACCCAGGCAGTCATGTAGTAGAACCAGGATGTGGGGTTTGGAACTGAGGGAACCCACCCGGTCTGGCCTCCCTTGTCTTCTGCTTTAACTGAGCACTTACTCCATGCCTTACACACGTTTCTCACCTAAGCCTCCCCGCCTTCCAAGGACCTGGGTGACTTTATAGATGGGCTCCCGGGCTGGCAGGATCACACAGCTTGGCCAAGGTTGCTCCGTGGGGTTCTGACTCTAGGCCTCATAAGCCTGTTCCTTCCTCATCCATGGGACGAGGGGCTGGGCTGGCAAATCACCAGCCTGATTGCTCAGACCTCTCTCAGGGCTCCTCTGGGGGTGCGGTGAGCCCCTTGACTTTAGGGGAAGGAAAAGATGAGGTGACTGAGGTACAGATGGTGTTTCCCTGCTCACACCCCCTCCGGAAAACCTGCCTGGGGTCCCAAAGGCACTGTGCTGTGGGGTTTCTTCCCGAGGGGAAAGGCTTGACATCTGTTGGCTCAGGGCTCGGCGTTATTTGTCCTTTGGTCGCCTGACAGCCCTGTCTGCCTTGTTTTCGCTGCGCTTCTATTCCTTCTTGCCCACTGTTTCAGGGCCTTGCCACTTTCTCAGCCTGTGGCTCCCAGGCGGGTGAGGTCTCTCCGCCTGGAGCTCTGGTCCACGTATCTCGTCTCCGTGGGTGATTCTCCCAGACCTTTGTGCAGACCTTGATGGGCACATCTTAACCTGGGAGCTTGGCCAACGGGGGTTGTCGTCCAAGTCCCGTTTGTGTCCCTAGCACCAGAGAGGGGTCCTGGCCATGGGGAGGAGGGTATAGTGGGATTTGGAGTAGCCTATCCTCAGGGAAGCCTTTCTTTGGTCCATGATGGTCATGGGGTGAGTGGTTGAGAGCACAGGCCGCAGAATCAGGTGGACCTGAGTTTGAAACCTGCCTGGCTCTGCCTTTTCTTAGCTGTGTGTGCTTGGGCAAGTGAGTGGCCTCTCTGAGCCTCAGCTTCCTGTTCTGCAGAAGCGGCAGGATAGCAGGACCTTCCTCATGGGGCCGATGGGCAGTTGTATGAGGCTGTGCTCGACGCTAGCCCGGTGTCCGAATGCTGATCATAAGGCTCGTCAGCCTGTGTGCACAGACCCTCCCTGCCAGGACCTTGAAGTCTGTGTGAGGGCTGGGGGGCCAGGTGCCCAGTGGCCAGGGCTGGGGGAGCAGCAGGTCAGGAGGGAAGAGCCTGGCCATGGCCTCCTCTGAGGACGGAGCTGAGACAGAGGCCTGGGAAAGGCAGGAGTGGCAGCTGGGAAAACTGGGCTCTGTTCTCCACTTTGTTACCAAACCGTAGGTTTTGCTGTTAGGGTAAGAGGTAGAAAGTGATCGCAGGACCCCAGGTCACATGTTGGAACAGGCTCCCTGAGAACCAGGAGTGCCTTGCCCCTCTATCTTGGGAGGCCTCCGCTCCCTGCTTCCAGGCCCTTCCTAGCCTGCTGCTTCACCACTGAGCACCACATGATCTCAATGGGGAAACTGAGGGCTGGCAAAGCAGAAGGGGCTTACTTCCTGGCCTCCTGGGGCTCAGGGCTGCTGGGGTTCTCTGGGGGTGCGAGCTGCTTGGAATAGCAACTCCAGGCAGGGGCCTTGGCTTGGGGGCAGCTGCGAAATGGAGGGACAGCAGATGAGGCTGGAGGCCTTTGACCTCACAGAGCTGGCTGAAGCCCCCTGACCACGTGGGTGGGGAAACCGAGGCTCAGGGCCTGCCCGTCAGTGGGGGAGCCAGGATGGGGCCCGGTGCCGGGCTGCTCTGGCCTTCAGTGCTCATCAAAGACGCATTTACTCCTGGCCTCCAACCGTCTTCTTGGGGCTTCTAACGGAGGTTTGGGTGCTTGTTTTATTTTCACTTTTTGAAAGTCGTTCCAGCTTCAAGCTTCCAATTTCCATGAAGTCACTGGAGCCGGGAGCCTGGCCTGATGCCTCTCCCCACTTCTGTTGAGGGCCCCGCTGCAGCTGGGAGAGCCCCCCCCACCCTCCCCCTCAAGCCCGGAGGCGCCTAGCTCAGGGCTCGGCCTTAGCTTTTGTGCAGCGGCCGCTGAGGAACAGGAAGCTGTGGGTCCCAGATGTGACTCGCTCTCGGTAGGTAGCCGGCGAGGGAGGCTTCCCATGCGTGCGCCCGGACACTGGCCGAGGAGGGGCAGGCGTGGGCCGGGCTGCCCCCGAGGGGGCCTGGACGAGAGCCAGGTAAAGGGCTGGGGGTGGGGAGAGGGGGCCGGGGCACCCTGTGTCCCGGCGGCCTGGGCCGAGGGGGGCGCGGGCCGGGCCTCCCCCGCCGGCCGGGGGTGGACAGGGTCTGGGCTGCGGGAGGTGGGGCGCCTCCTGGACAGAGGACCTGGACAGCTGGTCCCAGGCTTTGCCCAGCCTGACGAGGGGGTGCGGTCATTTCTGTGGCGGGGTGCTCACTGGGCGCGTTCCACCTGGAATTCCGTCAGCCCTGGACTCTTCAGATGTCCACTTTTCGTGGTTGTAATTTTACATTTACGAGTACATTCTTCTCGACGGTACCAATTAGCGAGGGAAGGGCAATCGAACTTTGTTACGTTAAAAAGAAAAATAAACCAAAAAACAAACTCTGAAAGTGACACATGCCCAAGAGACAGAACCGAGATGCCTCAGGAAAATGGAACCGTCTTCCTTTCCCTCCAGCCCTCCCAACCCGAGGCCCCCAGGGACCAACGTGGACCAGTGGGAGTAGGTCCTTCTGGAACATTCTATGGACTCATCCAGACCCAGGCACACAGAGCGAAGCAGGTGCCTCGTTTCTGTGTCACCACCCAGGGTTCAGGACAGCTGGCCCCAGGCGCTTCCTCTCTGACCAGCCCTTGGGGGAGGGGAGCTGCAGGGGTGAGGAAAGCAGAGGGCTGGGCTGGGCCTTGGTGCAGCAGGGCCCCCGGCCCCCTGAGGCCCGGCCAGGAGGCCAGAGTCTGGGTGGCTGGAGTCCAGGCTGGCTCTGCTTGGATGGCTGCGTGGCCGTGGGCTGTCAGCCGCATATGTGTGGGTGGACAACCCGAGGGTGGCCCACGTGAGAGGGACTAGGCCAGCCTTTCTCAGACGGGGCTCTGGGTGTGTGTGTGTGTGTGTGTGTGTGTTTTAGCCCATATGTAGATGAGCATGTTTAAAATTTGCTAGGTGTTTATTTTAATGTATTTAAGAAAAACAAACCTGTAACTAGGACCTTGGGTCTGTGAGTTCATGATGTCTCCTTGCCTGGGACGGGGCGAATGAAGATAACTGAAAGGAGAAGTGAGCAGACCTAAGAGGAAGTGTAGAGGGACCAGCTCGCCGGAAGTGCAGGCGTCTGGGGACCGAGTCGGGGACCGTCTGTTCTGGGAGGGTCTGTTTCTAACCAAGCTGCGGGTCTCCCCACCTCCAGAGGGGGCCTTCTGGGGTTTTCCTGTGGCTTCTGATGTGAGGTGCAGAGGAAGGGAGGCTCTCAGATTGTTCCAGATTCGGGGCCCTCAGAAGGGAATGTGTGAACTTTGTGGGGGCAGAGTCTCTTGTAGAGTTTGAGTGCAAAGCAGTGGCTGTTTACTGGCAGCTGGTTCTGGGGGTTGGGGCAGGGGTGGTCTCGAAGGGCCCCTTTGCCGGGAGTGGGTCTCGAGAGAAGGAGACTTCCTGCGAGTCTTCTAGGAATGGGCGTCGGTGCAGGGAGGGGTGAGGCCGTGAGTGGTGGGATGGGGCAGGAGGAGGGCCTCTAACCAGGCCAAAGGTGCTTTTTCAAGAGGAGATAAAGGTCAGACTTGTTGTTGTGGGGACAGGTACCCCCCCTTTACAGTTTATAACTCATGGTTTAACCCATTTCCTGCTCCTCTCACCCCCACCCTGTGCGGTAGGTACCCTCCCTGTCCCCCACCAGTTTGCAGAGAAGACAGAGGCCCAGCAGGACACTTTCTCATCCTGGGTCACACAGCGAGTCAGCCCCCGGGGTGGTCCAGGTGCAC